TCCCTCCCTTCCTTCCTTCATTCCTTCCTTCCTTCCTTCCTTCATTCCGTGCTGCTGGGAAGTGAACTTGGGACCTCACACATGCTGGGCGCCATGTCCATACTACATTCAGTCAACAGGGATTTCTTAAACTCTTCACAAGCCCCAGGCTCTGAGAACACAGATGTGAAAAAGACAGGTCTCTGGGCTGGAGAGATGCTCAGCCCTTGAGAGCGTTTGCTGCTCCTCTGGAGAACCCCAGTTGAGTCGACAGCATCCACGTCCGACAGCTCCCCACCCCCTAACTCCTGCTCCTGGCTCTCTGACTCCCTCTTTTGGAATCAGCGGGCATCGGCCCTTGCATGTGTGCGCACACACACACACACTCACACTCATGCACTCACACTCACATGTTCACTTACACACACACACTCATACTCACACCGCGCACACACACACTCACACTCATGCACTCACACTCACATGTTCACTTACACACTCACACACTCATATACTCACACTCATACACTCACACTTACACACATGTACACTCACACTCACACTCGCACTCATGCACTCACACTCACATGTTCACTTACACACTCACACACTCATATACTCACACTCATACACTCACACTTACACACATGTACACTCACACTCACACTGGCACTCATGCACTCACACACACACATGTTCACTTACACACTCACACACACTCATATACTCACACTCATACACTCACACTTACACACATGTTCACTCACACACTCACACACTCGCACTCATGCACTCCACTCACACTCACACACATGTTCATTTACACACTCGCACACACTCATATACTCACACTCACACACTCACACATACATGTTCACTCACACACACTCATACACTGACACACACGTTCACTTACACACACTCACACTCTCTCTCTCTCTCTCTCTCTCTCTCACACACACACACACACACACACACACACACACACACACACACACGATTTAAAATAATACATCTTTTTTTAAGTTAAGTCTTTCCTTTCACAGAGCTAATACCTGGTGGGACAGATGTAAAACACATTTGCACGCATTTAAGGGAAAAACCCATTTAAAATAAGCAGCTTGCAGAACACCCTTATGTTGTTAAATATGCCATCAAATGCTGTCTTTCCGGACAACATAATTCTGTAAGTTATTCTTAAAGAAACACATTTGGGATAAATTACATCATAGAAGGAACAGGCATGTTCTCAGCAGAGACGAAAGCGGGCCATCCAAAAATTCATGTTGCAGGCAATTCCATGGTCTCAGAAAGACTGACCGCTTCCTGTCTTCTGTGTGAATAGCCAGCTTTAAGCATTTTATTAGTCATTACTTGTGGTTTGGGCTCACTGTCAGCTATGCACCTATTCTGGCTGACCTCAGATCTGTTCAGCAGAGTGCACACACAGCTGTCCTGTGATCTAACACTGGCGACCTTGACCATGAGTCACGCGCCCCTGCTGAACCTGCTCGGTTTTCTGATATTCTGTCGCCACCTAGTGACCAAGGGACCACTCACTCACTTTTTGCCACCATTGTAGAACTCAGAAGAGTTAGTGGTCCTAGATGTAGTTCAATAAATTTAAGAAATACTGTGTGCACTATTTTTATTTGAAAATATATTCTTTCATATAATATGATCATGGTTTTCCTTGCCCCAACTCTTCTCAGATCCTCCCCACAACTCCCTACCCACCCTGTCATCGAAATACAGCTCAATGCTTGTCATCGAAAAACAAGCAACTAGAACAAGCAAACAAACTAGAATAGGAAAAAACAAACAAGCAACAGGGAAAAAAAAGAGCCAAAGAAAAAGAGCAAGAAACACATATGGATACAGAAACAGAGAGGGGGGGAACCCATAAAAACACAAAATCGAAAATCATAATATGTAAGCAGAAGACCTGCAAGGTTGGGGAGGGAGGAGCCTAGACAAAGCATTAAAAAAAAAACCAAAACTCCAAAATTACCATTGAGTTTGTTTCCATGTTGGCCATCTAGCGCTGGGCGTGGGCCTGCCCTGAAGCGTGCTTTGTATACCCAGTGAGACTCCATTAGAGGAAACTACTTCTTCCTTTGTGAGCAGTTGTCAGTGGGTGGGAGCTTCTGGGTTAAAGATGGGAGCTTGTGTTTACTTCATTTTTCAGCACTGGGACCCCATCTGGCTTAGACCTCTGCAGGCCCAGAGCATGGTGCAACAGTCTCTGTGTCCATATGTGTGTCAGCCCTGTTGTGTCTAGAAGGCCTTGCTTCCTTCATGTCCTCTATCTCCACCGGCTCTTGCAATTTCTCCACCTGTTCTTCTGCAAAGTTCCCTGAATTGTGAGCGGAGGGATTTCATGAGACATTCCATTTATGACTGAGAGTTAGTTCCAAGGCCTCTCACTCTCTGCATGGAGAAGTGTGGGTCTCCGTATTTCTTCCCATCAACTGTAGGAAGCGGCTTCTCTGAGGGTGGCTGAGCAAAAAACTGATCTACGGATATAGCAGAGTCATTAGGAGTCATTTGATTGCTCTGTTCCTTTAGCAGGGCAATAGATGGCATTTGGTTTTTCCCCGGGTCCCTGGCTTGTCTACTCTCATGTTCTTGGACTGCCAAGAATGCCAGGCATGGGTTCCATCGATTACAACCTTAAATGTAATCAGATAGTGATTGGTTACTACCACTATGGCACCCAAATGTCTTGCAGGCAGGTCATCATTGCAAACTGAAGCCTTTGTAACTGGCTTGGCGTTTACCTTTCTCCTCCAGTACCTGCACAATACCTTCCAGTACCATGACACTGGTCAGTAGGGGTGAAGGCTCTAGGTAGACACCAGCTCCCTTTCCCATGAGAAAGTCGGTGTATTTTAAGGCTTCACTCTAATAGCTTCTGAATTCTTTTAGAATAGCCTTCACAGCCTGCCACGTACTTTTTCAGCAGGGGCATAGTGCTTAGGAGTGGATTCTGGCATTGATAGTCTGTGTTTGAAATCTCAAAGGCACAGTTCATTGTTTGACCAAGTAAGTGACTGTGTCTCTCCATGCCCTGCCTTATCTCTATCCTGTCTGGGAAAAGGGTGAAAAGGTAAAAGGAATATATAACAGAGGTGGCTGCCTCAGAGGCCATTGTGCAGGCGGGTTAATATAGTGCCTGGCCCATAGTCAGTGATCAATAAAAGTCAGCTGCAAGAATTACTAACTCCAGAGACCGAAACTTAGTGGCATATAATGATAACTTTGAGTTCACTAAATACCCGAGGTTATCCCACTCAAGTCTGAGTAAATGCAATTGATGGGAACATCTGTCTCTGGCCTCTGACTCCACAGCATGAAACTGTTTCATTGAGTCACCACAATGACTCAGCAGGTAGGGTGCTTCCGGCGCACCTGAAGTTGATCCCTGGAAGCCACATGGTGGAACAGATTTCTGAAAGTTGTCCTCTAACTTTCACACTCTTGCTGTGCACGTGTCAGGCACACACACACACACACACACACACACACACACACACACACACTCACACACACACACACACA